TTCAAAACTACGAAAACACCTCCTTTTTGGTAAAAACAGGAGCTAACCCGTAGGCGGGGAGGAGCGAATCCAGAGTGCGTGAGCGATTTTCATTTCCCCCGAAGTTCTGGCACCTTCCTAGGCCTATTCCTAGAGGATGCCCCTGTATCTGCGATAACGCTTGGATCTGCTTCTACAAAATCAGTTCCTTCGAAGATGCGCGTGGGATAGTGAGTGTAATGAAGGCGAGTGCGCTGGTGTCGCTAGGTAGCGTTCATAGTTAGCGTCACATGCGGTTAGGCGAATACGTGATTAAGCCATTATTCGTTGAGGAAGAGAATACGTATCGATGAGGCGGTCAGGCGAGAGAGACTGCACACGTACCGATTGTTTCCTCCCTTCGATGAGCGCTCGCATAGTCGCCTAATCAATATGTATACCTTCCTTTCCGAATCTTCACCTAGTCGCCCAGTCGCACATACGATAGCGACTATGAACGCTGGTTTAGGGAGGAGAAGGGGCATCTATGCGGAGACCACTGTATTCAAGGCACATTCGTATCTTCTTCTTTTGATAACTAAGAATTCCTCTGCTGAAGCCATTACTTCTCCGTGGAACCGTTTAGGCCAAAGACTTGTGACGGAGGTTCAGGATGAAAGGAAAATCAAAAGGGCAGTACAACACAAAACATAGTTTTAATTACATTGGACACTTTCCAGGAGGATAATCCTAACAATGCAGCCCACTCGTAGAGATTTGTCGAAAGACTCTCAAAGAAGACGAGGCGGATTCAATATAGGTCCAGCTTCGACGAAAAAACGTTTGGATACAAGGCCAGGTCTTGAGCCACTAAGGTAAGCTTCCGCGGCGGAACGTTACAGGACTCAAGTAAACTTGCAGGAGAAACCTCCGAGTCACGGACGAGTGGGCGTGACGGCATATGCTGCCGACACGCCCACTCGTCCGTGATTGGCTACCACCACACGGGTTACTGTGTGCAGACGCGAGCCAGCCAGTCATAGACTAGTGGGCGTGCCGGCAGCATATGCTGCCGACACTGCTGCGGCCCGTAACTCGGTGGTTTCTCCTGCAAGTTTATCTGAGGAGGATGAATATTTGATCAAAGGCAATGACACTGTCGAGAGTTCCCGGGAAGGCGACCAAATTCCTTTTCGAGGCTCCTTCTTACACCAAATACAATACTCTCCTTACCATGATCCCATTGGTTACCCTCTACTAGTCCCCATATCTTCTCTTCCAATCGCCGAGTTTGAACGCAGCCTATTGAGAACATCGCGGTTTTTCGGATGTTGCGATTGAGAAGTAAGAACGCGCTCATTTCGATGTTATCTCGCTGGTTAGAGATCCCAGCTGTGAATATTTTAGGGATGGCGACGACGTTAACCTAGCCTCGGAATCGGAAGATTTCGGTGGAGCTAATGCTAATAAAGGTGTGACATTTACGACTGTTCGAGTATTCAAGTATTGTCGCGGCTCAGGAAAATGCTTCAGTTTACAGATACCATGGGTTTACAAAGCAAAGCTGGTGCACGGACACCGGGTACGTTAAAATATTCAGAAAATTGTTGCAAAAATTCAAATAATTCACGTCAGCATTCGATGTGAGTTAAATTCATGGACAAGGGTCGGGATAGAATTGGTGTGTTATTTTGTTTGAAAATTAGGACAAGGGGTGCAATGAGGAACATTAGTGAGGAGAAAAAGCAAAAAGCACCATAGAAAACACTAAATTTCCCTTAGGAGGCCGGCCGTAGTACGACGGAGAGACACAGCGCTGCGAGGAGAGGGAAAACGCGAGAGAGTACGTCGTACGCGAGAGGGCTCAACCAAGAAGGAAACCGGTCGAGGATTCATCGACGACTCGCCGGGGACTTTCGCCTGTTTAGTCACGCCCTCCGCCGCAGTTCCCTCCGAACGCAAAGTATGCCGCGATTGACAAGAATGGCAGCGCCGGCAGCGGACAAAGCAAGGCCTGCCCCCTCACGTGCGCCCTTTTAAGTCGTAAAGTGTCTGTCTCGGCACTCGGAGCCTTTCGCATTCAAGTAGAAACTGTCCAACTTGCACTCAATACGCGACCGAGAGCGCTCAAAGCAAGTGGCATGCGGATCAAAACGTTGAAAAAAATGTGTAACCCTACTATGAAAATGAACTTTGGCCTTCAAAGGACAAACTGGAGAATCACGTAAAAGAAAGCATGCTTGAAGCGATCTCGCAGCGAGTCCTTATCCAATCCTTTCCAAATATGGTAGAGGCAAACATGGGATCATCGCTTTAACATCTCCACCCAACAGATGTCGGTCACCCTATGTCCGCTCCAGAAAGGTGGCGTCGCTCGCTCCTCTTCATTTGTTGGCATTTGTGGAAGGCACTCAATCCATTCGAACTCGCGCTCCAAAAATAAAGACACTTTATGAATTCCGATCTTAATCGACTTCATTGACTATCTATTGTTCGAATGACAAGCCCACATTGAACTCAACAGGATGGAAAGTAATAGATTTGAACTTGGAAAGGTGCAGCGAGGCGTAAATATCTCCTCTGGTCGTGGAACTCTTCAATAATCCATCGGCCATCTGCGTCCCATTGAGCTCCCCAATCCTCCACACTCCTCAAACCCTATCGTCATTTCGGTCTTGTCAAATAATAATGTATCATATTCAATCGTTCCGTATGTCAACAAAGCTTCGAACTCTTATAGAGCTGAGAGCTCTCATAAGCCGTTATTTTCGTGTTATTAGTACATCAAAATCAGGCATCTTCTCGTTTCAGGTGCGCAGCGGTCAAGAATGAGTAAAGAATCCACTACAAAAACATCAAGTGGTAGCCGGGAAGGAGGCGGTCAGGTACTATCACCAGTCCTGGTTATTAGTCATGATCCGCACTCGTTAAATGGCATCAAATTTACATCGGTCACATTGTTCCTCAAAAACGTAAAAAATTTCGGGTATTCGCTCGAAAACGAAGGGAGAGCAAAGAACACCCTGAAAAACTAAGAACCACTGAAAAAAAAAACAAAAAACATCACAAACACTCAACTAATAGACTCCCTTTTCATGCTAGCACTTTTCCCCGACGAAAACACACAGTGCGTGGGAAAACTAGACAGAGAGCAAGTGCCATCGAAACAGTCAACAGCAACACTCCTTGATTGTAAGTTAACAGTCGCTAGCACTGACCAGCCAGTGACGCAGACTCTGGAGCTATTTTCGCGCTTTTTCGAGTCGTGGAACTGACAACAGTGGTTAGACTGTGAGCCGATTCAAAAGATGCCATCAAATCAACACCCCCAGATCGAATTTATGGGGTCAGCGGTGCTGAATCATGAAGTTTGGACGCCGAGTGACTAAAATATAAAAGGAAGCCATGAAACCGAGCTGAGCGCTAGCCAAGGATTCCCAACGAAATAAGGAAAGGCGGGGGCATGACGAAAATCAGAAAGATTAGTTATTCTTCGCCGCAATCATCGTTTGCATGATCATGTTCTCGCCACGCATACCTTCTCCAAAGCTAAGAATATCACCCTAATTCGCTGATTTTGTAAGATTGTAGCGCCAGTTTCGCGCAGAGCCTAGCTGCGACAAAGGCACATCTGGGATACTCGTAGGCTATCTAACCACCCACTGAGTAGATTATTCGACCAACTTCTGCTGGAGTGTTGCTTTAAGGGTACATTCCGCGGATTTTTGCTTTCTTACACTATTTGTGGCAGTTACCGAAAAAATACCAACTTCTGAACATAGTAGTACCTACCTATTAAATCGCGGCGCGAAATTTGCTTTTGAAATACAAATGCAGCTTCATATATACATTTATTATTGCAGGGATGCATTCTTTGTGCCATATGCGTGCTAATTATCTTGTTGATGCTCACATCGACAGCAACAGTAATAGTTGTTTTACATTGGAGCGGCACGATCAAGTGGATTCCGCCGCTGTATGATCTACTCTATGAATGAACGCCACCGATGACGACGACAAAGAATCCGAAATCGAAACATTTGTGTATAACCTTCCCAGTTTACTCTCAGAAACTCTATCTTCTTTCAAATTTGCTATACTGCAAATTTATCGCGAAAAAAGATATTAATATTATTGATCTGTTGTTTATTGATGCAGTCATGTATTTTTAATATCAGCGAGGTCAACAAGAAAATATTACTATTAGCCATAGAATACAAACAACTAACAGCAAACCATCATAATTTCCCCACAGCTGTCTGCACTATCGCCCATCAAGATTACCTAAAGGCAGATGGTACGATAATTCAGTCGCCGGTTGAAATGGAAAGTAGAGATGTGAGAGGTACAGAAGTGAAGTGTACATGTATGCTCTGCCTCTCTGCCAAAAAGGCTGGAGTCCGACGGTGAGGGATCGACAGCTGTGGCAGCTAATCGGTGGGCGAGCCCATGGGCGGAGGCGGTTAGAGGGGTCGGTAAAGCTCTGTTAGTTTGTTTCAGAATCGCACTATCCGCCATAGCACCATGTTTCAGTCCCGTAGGAATCCAGCCTCTTATAGTGGCTACATTTTCCTCCTTTTCAACATCCAATTTATCGTACAACAAGAACGGGAGGATGAGGACGATCGCGTCCTTTAAGCCGCCTCAGATCCATCTCTCGTCTGCGCTCTCTCACCTTATCAGCGGCTCATGACCATTGTGATCACACACATTCAAACTTTTGCCACACTGTAGTTGGCTCACCCACCTCGGAGTCCCTCCCTCCTACAAGGCTTAGTCCTAGGGCTCTCACCTCCTTCCTTGGGATTTGGAGCCGAGCCAGGCGCCGTTCTCTAACTGTCTGTGCCCTCCGCCATTCGTGGCAGGACCATGGAAGAAAGTTCAAGTAGTCCGTAAACCGATGATCTATTGCCTTTCCATACCGCTCCGATTGTCCACACACCCACTCCAACGCGTCCAAAACTAAAAAACGAATAAGGGCCCAAATTTGCGGGTTTTCAACTGGATTTCTGCATTTCCCGCCATTGACGCACTACTTTGTACCCGTATATGCGTTCTAAACCCACCCAGAATTATCTTCACTGACTCTAAAGTACTTCATAACACGTTCTAATTCAGACTATATCCACTGGATTCACATTCCATGCATTTTGAGTTCTTTTACACGAAAGTGATGAAAACCTGGTTTTCTTCTCATACCACGGCGACCTCATCCACCCGTTGCAAAAGAACGACAACGGCGACATTTTTCATTACAAAAACCTCCACCGCTTCTAACAATAAAGAAATGATAAATGGCAAAGAAGCCCTAAAGAAGCGCTTAACCCAAATGCCTAACAATCAGCCGTGAGCACGAAATCAGATATCATTTGCGAATTTTTAAATAGCATTTAGGAGAACATTTTTGAAAATTACCAACAGACAAAGAGAAAATGATATCGAGGCGCGGAATAATGAGATCACAGTAGAACCTCCCAATCAATTGCACAGGAAAAGTAATAAATAGAGGAACAACGAGAAATGGCTGTAAAATCTTACAATTACACAAGTTCGAAATATCGGTCGAATCTCCATTTCTGGCGTTTAGTCTCATCGCATCGTGTAAATAAGACATCGCCACCGGATTCCACACCTTCCACATCCAGGCACAGCCCTCTTTCCTTGTGTCGAAGAACACCACCCTGAATTGTCCAGCTCTGAGACAAATGAAAAATGGGGTAATGGTCAACAGTAGTAATTATGATAGGCCGTCCGAACTGCGCGGCAGGAAGTCACTATAGGCATGAAGGCGATTTCCCAGGAATCCGCCTTTTTAGGTTTCTTCTGAAGTTATTTTTGTAGTACCGAACTAAGCAGATGTTTTTTTAAGAGCGCTCAAAATTAAAAAGCGCAGCGTAGGTCAAGTAGGGAGGGGTAAAGGGTACTTCTTGCCCGTCTTTCTCAAACTCAAAAAAGAGGATCGAGAGTATCACCAGGAAAATCAGGCATAAAGGGAAGTTTGTACGAGGTTCTGACGTACATAAATGACATGCAGCATGGAAGCAAATGCCCTTGCAGGCTAGAAGTATAAGAGCAAATTAGCACCACTTCCAAGAAGACCCTTTTTATAGCCCTATCTTCCCCCCCCCCTTCACCATCATAAGAGCGCAGCCAAACTTTTAATTTATTGATTTAGAGGACAACCATCAAAAGCTAAGCAAAATCCACAAAGATCTCAAGAATGCCGTGGAAAACTCTAGAAAATAATACCTCAGTGTGCTCGAATTCGATGACGTTTTTATCTGTACAATCAATGAGTTCCGCATTATAGACTCCTGGACGAAGTTTTCCGCCGATTTCCACACAGGTTGCCTCTCTTCGAAGCTCGTGCTGTTTCGATAATGAGAACATCTGTAATGTAATAGAATGCGCTGGAACTGAAAAGCGGCCATCAATGGAAAGAAATGCAAGAATTAACAAATAAAAAAAATTTCAGGACATTAAAGGGAACATCAGAGAATTCATTACGAAGAAAGAAAGGAAAAAATTGCACAAATCAGTAGCCCAGGTACAGATAGTACAAGTTTATATAAGCACATAATATTGCGATTACTATATCTCATGAGTAAGGTGTTGACGTTAAGGTGAGTAAAGCTT